ATACGTATATTACATTACTCAGCCATAAAAAAGAAAGAGATCTTGCCATCTGCAACAACATGGATGATTTTAGAGAGTATTACGCTAAGTGAAGTAAGTCAGGTAGAGAAAGACAAGTACCATATGATTTCACTCATATGTGGGATTTAAGAAACAAAACAAACAAGCAAAGAAAAAAAAGACAACCCAAAAAACGGACTCTTAATGAGAGAGAACAAACTGATAGTTACCAGAGGGAAGGTGGGTGGGGGGAAGGGTGAAATAGGTGAAGGGTATTAAAAGTATACTTATCACGATGAGCACTAAGTAATGCACAGAATTGCTGAATTATTATATTGTACACCGAAACTAATACAACATTGTGTATTAATATACTAGAATTATAATTTAAAATAAGGCAAAAAATGCAAAAGAGACAGAGGAAAATAAAAGTCAAAGACAGGATATTAGGAAATAAAAAAAACCGCCAACAGACTCTTGAATATAGAGAACAAACTGTTGGTTGCCAGAGGTTGGGGGGAGACGGGTGAAACAGATAAAGGAGATTAAGAGTACACTTATCTTGATAAGCACTGAGTAATGTATAGAACTGCTGAATCACTATATTTCACACCTGAAACTATTAACACTGTATGCTAATTATCCTTCAATAAAACAAAATTATAATGACATTCAGCATACAGAGGTATAAATGAGCAACCTCCCTGGGATCATTTTCTCCTTTTCTCCCCTTGCAAAAAAGATATATTGTCAAACACTAATAATTCCCATGAGGATAACTAATCTGTACTTCAACAACACTGTGCACATGTAATATATTCTAGGATGCAGGTGGAGTAGACATGAAATAGCCTTTCACCGACCACTCAGGAAATGCACTTTTCATAAGCCTGCTCTCTTGCCCCAGGCTGAGGGGTCTGCTGCCGTGACTGACAACTACACAGCTAATTCCCTGCTATTCCTGGGAGCCCTCACTTCATTTTGCAAAATCCTTTTCCCAAAATTAAATCCAGGATTTGTCACCTAATTGGTTCTGAGTGAGGATAACAGAGATAAAACCAAAAATCCAAAATGTTTTCTTAAATCCCTGTTCAAAATTCTATAGGGATAAATGAGCTAATCCTTCAAAATGTAAGATTTGGTTCCTGAGTGGATTTTGTGTATAACATATTTAATGTCACTACCTTCCCTGAGACAAACTGAAATTTTAAAAATCATACCTCTGTTATTACAAAGTCTTACAGAGATAGAACCCCTTTAAATTAATGAAATATTCTAATTGGGCACACCTGCGTACTGTGTCAAGCACTGGGGCAAGTTTCTCATGGTCCTGGCTCCAAACTTGCTTCTTTACAGCTTGAGAGAATTGTGCTGGCCAAAGCTCTGAGAGGCAAGGTACTACTTACTTTGGCTCTTTCCAAAAAAATTCAAAACTCGAAGTTTAACAAATGGCCCCCACAAGGATTTGCTGAAGTTTCCTCAGACTCAAACTGTTAGGGCAGGAGGGGGCTTTGGAAATCAACTTTAACCTAGTTATTTCAAATGAGAAGAAGCTGTGGACAAGAAGTAAATGACTTGCCCAAAATCACAGAGTTAGTTGATAAAACCAGCAGAGTTACAATACGGGTACTTGGATTCACAGCTGGAAGCTCACTTTTCCATACCATCTGCCTAAAACATGTACATATGGACAGTATTGAAACCTCTGCTGAGAGGGAAAAAAAATGAAAACAACTTTCTGCTTTCAAATGTGAAGGTGGGAGCTTAAGGTGTTGCATGTCATTTCCTGGAGGTGAAAGGTAATAACCTTCCAAATGACATGATGGGCTTGTCCTGGAGGCTAAGTGAAATGAAACGGAATACCAGATCTTTGTTGCAACCATAATGAACTATGCGCCCAAAGCTACCCTATACCTCCTTTTCCATTCACAAAGCTTATAGTCCCTTTGGCCAGAAGGATGGGCTTATATCCTAGACCTGGCTAATCAACTATCTCACATCACAGGCAAGAGTGACTGGTCTAAGTAAGGTCAACCAGAACCCTTCCCTAGAACTTCTCCATGTGGAGAAGGCAGTCTATAGTAGGGGAGCCTTAGACCAACATTCAAAGAGAAACAGACATAAACACAGATGAGAGGTGGAAAGAGTCTGACAAAGTCCAATCCAATCCTGGGGTCTCATAACTGAGCTGGTCCCTTTGATTCTGTAAGTTAACCCTTTATTTTTATCAACTATAAAGCCAGTAAATTCCTTTTTTTGCTCAGAATAGTTTGCATTGAGTTTTTGTCACTCGCAACTCAAAAACTCTAACATATACTGAACACAGGAGACAGGACTAGATACGTGTTATTCTTCATACAGGGAAATTAATGAACATTTATTTAAAACAATTTTTTGATGCATTTATAGAGGCTCTACTGTTTCTTAGATCTACCATTCCTAACATCCTACACTTACCAGCTTCACTGTTTCCATCATAAGCTGGCTGCTGAGAGTATCTGAGTTTGCTAACACTTCCCTAGGATTTCCCTAGAATTAAAAACAATCCTCTTATAAGCTTGTTTCATTTGATTTCCAATAGAAGTTGGATGTAAAATATATTCCAGGTAATATAAATTCAATGAGATTTTGCCTTATCCAGAATGTCACAAAGATAAATCTGGTCATCAACATTATAGTATGCTATGAGGCAAGTTCTCAAATTTAAAGGAAATCCAACAGAGTTATGGCTCCTTCAATATAATTCAGCAGCGTGTTTCTTATTTTATCACGATGGAAACCACTAACAACAACAAATCTGAGTACCTACCTCCAATAAGGCTCCAGTTTGGAAGAATTTCAAAGGCTTTTCAATGGAATAATAAAGGCTATGATAGCTACCCTTAGCCAGGTATGCTCTGACCAGACCAACTGCTATAACAAGCCACCTGTGAAAAAGAGGGAAAAAAAAGAGCCATTAGAGAGAGAAAAAAAAAAGTGGGGATCTGAGGTAACTGAAATTTGGCAACAAAAGATACTGCTAAAGGTGACCTGAAGAATCAGCATCCTGGATTTATCAATTATGGCCCTCAAATGCCAAGCTGTAATGCACCACCACCAACACCCAACCAAGAGTGCTCTGCAAAAGCACAGTGGCACCTCACCCATCTGGAGCTCAGCTTTCTGGCAAACTTGCCTGTTGAGAACAAGGCCAAAATGAAGAGAATAAGCTAAATTGGTCCTTGAGCAGCTAAATTAAGTGCCAGAATGTCTAAGACAAGAGAAAAAAAAAGCTGTTAAAGGAAAATTTTAAATGGCCTGTGCAGTCAGAGGGTCTGTAATAATAATAGGGAGGAGAAAAGAGGTTTTAAACTATTGTCACAAGTATCTCACAGAAACATACCTATACCCTATTCTTTTAAAATTGCAAATGAAATAAGAATAAAAGGTGGGTTTTTTAAAGAAAAAAGGATTTTTAGCTCAATTTCCCAAAATCAATTAATCCAGATCAATACAAAACACAAAACAGGGAAACACTTAGGCCTATCACTGGGAATGTTACATTTCTGTTGTGTCCTTCTCAAAAATGAATTTCTCAGGCCCTGTAGTTTTTTGTTAAGCTCCATAATGAAACAAATGGACGTTTATTATTAAGGTATGTCTCCTTGAAAGCAACAATAGGTTTACCTAAATAATGTACAATCTCAACCAGGCAGTGGGATATATGATCTATGTTATTTCCAGAAACTATCATACAAAGACATCAAATAAGAATTTGTAAAAGAAATGAATTCTTGAATGGTGTAACTGTCTCAACATTAGCAGCCTACAAAAAAAAAAAAAAAA